ACTTTTTTTTTTTTTTTTTTTTTTTGTAATTAAGGATGAATTAGTGTTATTAATGTAAATAATGAGAATTGAATGAGGGAACAGTTGACCAAAAAACAAATAGTATAAGGCAAAATGAGCATGCTAGATGTACCTAATTTTTTTTACTTAATACTTCACATACACTCACAATAGGGGTGTGGAGACCACATGTTAGGATTATTTTATTCACGCGAGATCCACGTGCTTGTGAGAGTAGATAAATCAAATTATGTACACTTAGAATTATTCAAGGCAAAATGGGAAACATCAAGTGAGGGTATATTGGACTTGGAAAATGATAAACAGATAGGCTAAAAAAAAAACAGGAAATAAAAAGCCGACTGATGTGGCAGCAAGTTGTTGGTTTTTTTCTTAACTCTTCAATCATGTATCGACACATGTACAACTTGCTTTTAAACCTGTTTTTCAGTCTATTTCTGTAGCATTCCTCATTGGGCTTATAGCTAAATATAGAAGGGAAAAATTGGTATTCAAAAGTTTTTTCTCAATCTTTACTTTTTAAACATTGCAGATAAATTAATTGTGCACTTTTATCAATTGTTCCATCCGGACTACCAATAAAATATTGTAAACCTTATTCTAATTGCATCCTATATTTCAATAATCTTCTAGGTACAAATTGCAACATATATGCATAATAAATGAAAAGAAAATATTCTCACGATTTCCCAAAGTCAATTAAGCCCCCATTCGGTTCCTATTCTTTGGCCACAAAAATGAAAAATATGATCGCTATACATCACATCAAGTTATCATATTTGACTTTCTATCTTTTTTGTGGGTCCGGTAAAAGGTATATTTTTTATTCCCATTCTTAGAAAAATAGGTACCAAATAGGACCTGAATTTATACATTGGTCCATCCGTATTCTTACTCGTGTATATCTACTCTCTCAATTGAATTTATACATTGGTCCATTCGGATTCCTAATATTGTAAACCTTATTTTAATTACACCTATATTTCAATAATCTTCTACGTACAAATTACAAAATATATGTATAATAGATCATAAGAAAATATTCACACAATTTCCCAATGATTTACTGTATATTTACTTTCTCAGTTGAATTTATACGTTTTATCATCGTAATATTCTTAAAAAAAATTAAAAAAAAATGAATATTCTTCCAGCTAGAATCCAGTTCAATGAATAATTAATAGAATCTTCTATGTTACACGATCTCGAATTTTATGTTAAATCAAGAAAAGAAATCACACTGCCAGTTAAGAAAAAACTGGAACATGTTAAGGATTTTAAACCATATTCATTGCCTAGTAATTAGGAATAAATCATTCGCTTGAATTCTTGCAATTCTTCCCAAATTTAGAGGATTGAAAGTGCATGGAGTTGTTAGCAACATAAATAAGAACCATAGAATGCAGAATTAGTCTCAAGAAACTAAGCGTTTTCACGCACTGAAGGTTACATTTAACCTTCAGGAGTCTGAGTATTCAAAGTGATAGTTTGCTCGTCGGAAAAGCCAAGAATGGTCAGCCGCGGTGGTGATGCAGTACCTAATCAGTCTGTGTCACCGGAGAGGCCTCATGCAAATCTTGATATACATGGTATGGTATATAAAAATCTTTTCCATTTTCTGCATCTTTAAAATGGTATTTGCATTATGACGCAGTATACGAAGAAAAGATTTCAATGAAAAGTGGGATTGGATTGAAAGAATGCTTTCGATTTTAATAAAATTCTAATATTATGCATTCATGAGCATCAACAAATTTGAGGGTTTTTTAGAGATTTCCTTTCGTCTTCAAGTCTCTAAATCTTTTTGTTTTACCTGTTCATGCAGTAACTGAAGAAGAAAATGATTGCCCGATCGAGCAAGTGCGGCTAACGGTTTCACCCACGGACGATCCCTCCCTTCCAGTCCTGACTTTCAGGACATGGTTTCTCGGCTTGTTGTCATGCATTATGCTTGCATTCCTGAACCAGTTCTTCGGCTATCGACAGAACAGCCTGTACATTTCTTCTGTGACAGCACAGATTATCACTCTCCCTATCGGAAGGTTGATGGCATCCACTCTTCCTACGAAAACATTTCATGTGCCATTTACGACGTGGTCGTTCTCGTTGAATCCAGGACCCTTTAATCTCAAAGAACATGTTCTTATCACAATATTTGCTGGGTGTGGTGATGCCGGTGTTTATGCTGTGAGTATCATCACCATTGTTAAGGCATTCTATCACCGGCAACTTCATCCATTGGCGGCATGGTTTCTGTCTCACACTACACAGGTACGTGATGACAAAGTTTGTCGTCTTCAGAACAACTCAAACTTCTAGACGAGATGGATCGATGTTCAAATGACAAATAATCTAGTCCATTTGATTTATTTCAGTTGCTGGGATATGGGTGGGCTGGTATATTTAGGGACACCCTAGTGGACTCCCCATATATGTGGTGGCCTGAAAACATGATTCAGGTGTCCCTATTCAGGTACTTGACATCCAATTCTTTTACATTAAGTTTCCATTAAGAAAAGAATTAACTTCATTGCCTGTTGGGAAATTTTGCAGAGCATTACATGAAAGGGAAAAAAGACCAAAGGGAGGACTTACCAGACTACAATTCTTCTTGACAGTTTTTGTGTGCAGCTTTGCTTATTACATAATTCCAGCTTATTTATTCCCTTCATTATCTGCCATTTCTGTCCTCTGTTTGATTTGGAAGAAATCCATATTTGCGCAACAACTCGGGTCAGGTCTACATGGACTGGGAATTGGTTCGTTCGCTTTAGACTGGTCTTCTATTGTTAGTTTCATAAGCAATCCTATATCTTCACCCGCATTCGCAATTATTAATACCCTTGTGGGATTTTTCCTGGTAATGTATGTTTTAATTCCCCTTGTTTACTGGCTCAATGCATACGAGGCCAAGAAGTTTCCTATCTTCTCCTCCCACACGTATGATTATACAGGAAATATTTACAATATTTCGCGTGTTTTGGATAAGAAAACGTTTGACCTTGATGTAGCTGGATTTGAAAGTTACAGCAAACTCTATCTTAGCGTTTTCTTTGCCTTCACTTATGGCCTTGGCTTTGCCAGCCTAGCTGCTACTATCTCACATGTGGGACTTTTCCATGGATCGTAAGTTAATTACTTATGAATCTGATTTCATATTACAGATTCTGGCAGAAAGTTTTTGATAATTTTACTGATGAAAAATGTGATATTCAGAACAATTTGGGAATTCTGGAGCAAAGCAAAGACGGAAAAAGGGGACGTGCACACAAGAATAATGAAGAAGAACTATGCAGCAGTTCCTGACTGGTGGTTTTATGTGATACTAGCTGTAGTGTTCGCTCTTGCGCTGTTAGCATGCGAAGGTTTTGGCAAACAACTCCAGCTCCCATGGTGGGGACTCCTATCAGCCTGTTCAATTGCTTTCTTCTTCACATTGCCAATTGGAGTAATACAAGCCACAACAAATCAGGTAACAATTGAATCCTACCAGAATGTCTGGACATGTTTAGTATGCAGTACTAAATATGATTCATCAGTAAAAGATTTTAATTTATTATTCTCCATTCATACTATGTCGAACCCAACTGACCAAGCATGCCATGAAAGTACAGTAAAGTTTAGCATTTTAGTAATCCCATTTGTATAAACGTGCAGCAAATAGGGCTGAACATAATCACTGAGTTGGTTATAGGATATATTTACCCAGGGAGACCTCTTGCAAATGTAGCTTTCAAGACATACGGCTACATAAGCATGTCACAAGCCCTTGGTTTCCTAAGAGATTTCAAATTAGGACACTACATGAAGGTCCCTCCCAGATCCATGTTCGTTGCTCAGGTATAGAATGCTATACCAAGACAAACTATCAATGCAAATTTCACTGTTTGCAAATATAGTTACTCATCTTTTTTCTTTTTTCTGTAAATCAGCTGGTTGGAACAATAGTTTCTTCTTCCGTTTACTTCGGCACGGCCTGGTGGCTCCTAACGACAGTAAAGCACATCTGTGATCCGGCTTTATTGCCCGAAGGAAGTCCCTGGACTTGCCCTGGTGATGATGTGTTCTACAATGCCTCAATCATATGGGGAGTGATAGGGCCGATGCGCATGTTCAATAGAGGTGTTTACCCAGAGCTGAACTGGTTCTTCCTTTTTGGTATGTTGGCACCCATACCAGCGTATCTGCTTACGTGCAAATACCCTGAAAAGAAATGGATAAGGCTGATCAACGTGCCCCTCATTCTTGGTGCCACAATGTCCATGCCACCAGCTCGGTCTGTGAACTATTTGATGTGGGGCGCAGCTGGAATTTTCTTCAACATATATATCTACAGAAAATACAAGCAATGGTGGGCTAGACATGCTTACATTTTGGCTGCTGCGCTTAATGCTGGAATCGCATTCATGGGAGTGCTGCTTTACTTTGCACTGCAATCTAAAGATATTTCTGGTCCTGCTTGGTGGGGTTTGAGCGCTGATGACCACTGTCCTCTGGCTACATGCCCAACAGCCCCTGGGATAGAGGTCGAAGGCTGCCCAGTTCATTGACCAGTTGTTCCCAGTTTAATTTCAGTGTAACTTGCGATAAGCTGGTAATCTCCATAGTGGAGAAAATGTACAGTTCATTCAATAGCACCAAATTGCAGAATTAAACATGAGAATAGTACATCCACTGCAGGTGAAGTAAAGAAACGATTGTCATTAGCGCTCTAGTAAATTAAATTTCATAGTCATTTCTTTATGAGAATTACCTCTATTTCTTGTTGCAACATAAATTATCTGTGCCTGAAGGTTAACATAATTTTTAGAAATTTCTTCAGTTATATTAATTACTAGAATGAAAATTTGGACATGTTCAAATACATTTAACTTTAATGAGATACATGTGTGTATACCCTCAAGTTACAAAAAGAGAAACAAAAAATGTTGCTTCCAATAATACTAATCGCCTTTTTAACTCTTAGCAATGAAATGTAAAACAACTTACAGGAGATATAAAACTGCCAAGCAAAAGAGGTATTATTGATAAAAATCTAATAATATCATCAAGACGAGCTTTTCAATTTGTAACAGAAGATGATGCCCCAATACATGAACTGACATCTCTCCTACCCATAAGTTCTAAAAACTTGTCCCTAAATTTCAAAAGGGGGCATTTATTAGTTAAGTCTGATCCATCATAAGCCTCTTTCAGGATAACAGTACTCTTTGCGCCTTTATTAGTGATGTAAAAGATACCATGATGCTTAATTAAGCAAAGTAGCAATCTAGCTGGTAGACGATACTCGGAATGAAAAGCATCTAGTTGTGCAGAAGTCAACCTCTTCTCCATAGTTAAACTCAGGAGCTCGTGAAGCACCGCCACTGCTCTTTTCCGAGCTTTAGGATCAGCAGCTTCAATCCTCCTTGCATTCAAGTATGGAGAAGGGAAGTCCATTTTCTGCCACCTCTGAACTTCCTCCAGATAACTCACATTTGCCCTAAAACCTACAGGAAAATCTAAGTGAAATGCATGAGGGCCTGAAAAGTTACCATCTTTTGATATCTTAGCTCTCTTCGGATGCCCACTGGTGTTTAACAACCCTTCACGTGCCAGCCTCTCCTCTCGGGCAGTTACCGCCAGCGAGGAATCCCAATTCTCCAAATCCAGATACCATCTCCCGCTGACATCTTTCAGAGAAAAAAATTGGGGGTACTTTGGAATAATTGATTGTTTGAAGTCACTGGGCAATCCCATCTCATTCCCAATCATCTCAATTGTTTCTAAAGGCACCCTACAGTCAACTGACAGCATCAATAACTTCCTCAAATTCTTAACCAAAATGGGTTCCATTTGCACCGTTGCTTCAGCTTCCAAATCTGCAATCTTTTTTGCCTTCTCGCTAAGCATAACTGCAGGTGGTGACTTGTCAATTTTGCCACCAATAACGACGAAAATGGATGGGTATTTTTCAATGACAGCCATATAATTCCATTTCTGCACAAACCCAACTTCTTTTTCAAGGTCTCTTAGTAAAAGAGACTCCTTTTTCTGGGATTGGATGATGGACTTGAGCTGTAAAATAAGAGATGGTTTCTTCTGGAGCTCCATTACTCTGTCCAGCTCGTGCACTCTATGATAAATTTTCTTCTTGGGTTTTCTTCCTCCAGTTGTTTTGTGCATAATTTGGACCCACGTGTAACCCAACGATGCTTTAAACCCCCCGCTTCTATTGATGAGCACAAGTTTGTGAAATTTATGCAGTTGTGAAAAGATCAACATTTTTTATGTATTTAAAATTCTCTTAAACAAATGGTTGAACACTTGGAGTGCAAACATAAGATACAGCCTTCTTCCGCAATCATAATTCACTCTTTCCAGATTACGCCATTCTTAAATGCATTAAGAATTGGAAAACTCACATAAAAGCGTGTATTCAAATGCTGAATCCCGAATTCCTGACAATGCTGATTTCTACACAGAGAGCGTGTGTGTGGTCACTTATTACCGCCGTGTTTAAAAACTATTAAAGATGAGCAATGCTATTTAGTTCTTATGATCTTAATTTAGATGGCATTAATGTGACATTCAATAATAAATAAATTTAAATAATTTATTTAATTTCACATTTTATTTAGTCTGTCATTTACTAATGGTACTACATAGCATTAATTTTTAAGCAATCATACTTACACTTTTCCACGTGTCAATTTATGATTTGACAGTTTTTTCCCCGCTTTTTTCACTAATCAGATCTTTGCCAATAAAGACGATGTCAAGCATGATGTAGAAGTGGCTTTGTCCTTAATGATTGTAGTATTAAATGGATCAGGCCACCGCGTTGGGCTTGAATATAGAAAATAGGTACAATAAGTGTCATATTAAATTTTAATAAATATTCATCCTAAAATTAAGTATTTAGTTTCGACATTCAAAGAAGACCCAATTTAACAAATTGTGACGGTTGAACAAAAGAGAAAAGTTACAAAGACCTCTCTAGAACAAATAATCTCAATACCATTATCGAAATCTGGCTAATTGAAAGTCGCTAGATTATTAACATCACAAATTGAAAAGTATCGACATTGCAGAGTAAATTTTTTTAAGGGAATAGTCACAAATTGAGTTAATATTGTATTGTTACTGGATCTTCCTATTTTTAAATTGACGAAATAGTGTTAGCACTCCAATAGTGAATTGCAGTGATGGAAATTGAAAAGATCCTTTGGATTTTTACTTCACACCTTAGTAGTGTAGGAGTTATTTTAACAAGCCAGTCTAATATTGTGGAGGAAATACCTATAGATAGCCTAAATAAAAGGAAGTTTTGTAAGATTAGACCAAAAAATATAAACATTTAAAGAATAGCCTTTGAACAATAATTTTTCCAAAAATACCCCTTATTGAGAAATTGCAACCAAAGCCACTACAATGTATAAAAACCTTCAATTAGGACCTCAAAGAAATATAGATAAAAAATCTTTAATAAATTTAAACCCAAATATTATACAAAATTTTATTGATCTAAAAAACGCAACAGAAAATGAATTTAAATATTTAGAAGAAGATCTGAAAGGTTTCTTTACAGAATATTTAGATCCAAAATTAAAAAATAAAAATGTTTCTATAGATAATAGAACAATCAAAACAGAAAATGATATGTATAAATTAATTCTCAATCTAAGAAGAAGAATTAAAGAACTAAACATAATTATTGAAGAAAAAGTTTTAATAAAAAATAGTGAATTTTATAAATTTTATTGTGATATTTTAAATACATATGAAGATTTTAATTGGCTCAAAAGTCTTAACCCCTCCGTTGCACACTCCGATGAAATGGTATCAGAACCATGTTACGAACAAAAAATTATGATAAATATAGTAGATGAAGAAAATATAATTGAAGAATTTTTGAAAAAAGTTGAAAAACATAAAAAACCTAGTTATCCCTATTTACCTAAAAATACTACAAATGAAAGTTTTGAGGATATACACAAAAGATTAGAAAAATATAGAATATAATCTACAAGTGGGAAATGCTCTATTAGATAAAAACCTTAAAGGAAAAGATAGGATTATAATTAATCCACCCCAAGATTTTAGGATAACTCAATAGGAAAATAACAAAAGGGAAAAAATATGAAGAAAAACAATATATGCTTACAGATGTAGAAGAAATAGAACAAAAATTCTTAGAATCTACAGGTGAATAATATGAAGAATATAAAAAATAGTTAGAAGAATTAACTGAAAAAATGGAAAATACAAAGATGAATATTAATCCATCTTCAAGTCAGAATATAAAAGTAGAATTTAGTAGTGATGAAGAACAAGATTATCCTTATGGTACCCCAATACCAAATAAGGATGCTATTTACCAATATAGAAAAACACAGAAAAGATACACTGGAAATGTACGAAAACAGTCCATAAAAGAAATAAATCCAATGAAATCTTATAATGAACAAATCCATACAACATGGATATGGTTAGATTTAGATTGTGTAGATAAAAATAAAACTATTGAAACATTGATGAAAAGTACAGATTTAGCAATACAATTTTATTAAATGGGAAACATATACAGCTTTTGGATTTATAGAACATACATTCAGAGGAATTGTTTCTGAATGGTGGAAAAAATTACCAGTAACTATTAAAGGATGGGTAAAATATGGAGCAGGTAGAACTGAGGTATTAGATAACAAGAATACTTTAAATGAACAAAATATACAGGAGATATTAAAAAGATTTGAAAAAATCTTAAGAACATAATTCTTAGGTGATAGGTATACTTCTAATGATGAAGAAAGAAAACAAGATGAATATAATTAAGGAATGATAGCAATGAAAAATTTAAAGATATGTGATATGTGTGAATTAGAAAGATACACTTGTAAATTTGAAGAAATATACTATATATTAAACCAAGGAGATTATCAAGAAAATAAACTCATATTAAGATCTTATTTTATAAAGTTACCATTCCCATGGGGAATTAAGTTATTAAAAGAATATGAAAAATTATTACATCTAGGAGAAGAGGAAGGAGTAAAAATAGATAGTCTTGAAAGTAGAATTGAATTTACAAAAAGAATGATAGGCATATGGTGTAGAGAAACTTTAGAAAATAAAAAAAACATATAAAATAAGAAAGAATTCATTATATTGTTACAAAGATAATGACCAAGTTGAACAATTTGAATGTCATAAGAAGAAATATAAATCATACAAGAAAAATAAAAGAAAATTCAAAAACTACAAAAAATTCAAGAAGAGAAATTTTAAACCACATAAAAAATATTTCAAGAAAAGAAATTGAAATAAAAAATTTTAATCAAGAAATATTAAAAAATGTAGATGTTTTATTTGTAATGAAGAAGGACACATTGTCCTCGATGTCCTAAAAAGAAAGATAGACAAAATATAAAAACTCTTAGAATTTATGAAAATTTTCAAAAAGATAGTGACATAGAACCAATTGAATATTTTGAAAATCTAAGTAGTGAATGCAGTAGCATTTATGAATTAAATACATCCTCATCAGAAGAAGATTATGAGAAAATAGTATATATGAACCAGGAAATACAACAATCAGAAATAGAAATAGAAACAACTGAAGAAATTGAAGACTCTATAGAAGGTATAAATCAAGAAATTACCTTTGATATTAAAAATACACATGAATCACTAAGAAGATATTAGACCTACAAAAAAAATATGTATTCCATCAAAGATTCTTAGGAATATTACCAAGAGTAAATAAAACAATTGTAAGTATGAATTATAAAGAAATGTCTATCAATATAGAAGATACTATAGGAAAAGCAAGAATTCCTATAATTACAAAAGAGCGGGTAAAACAAAAGTTATCCAAAATCCCAGAAAATGTAAGAAATAAATTAAAATGTATTGAAATAGGAGGAGTCCAGATAATGGTAAAATGATTCTTTAGAGAAGGTATGAACATACCAATAGAAATATATTGTATGGACAATAGAATCTTACAAGATCCTATAAATACTCTATTAGGAACAGTTGTAGGAAACTTAGTCTATCAAAAGATAATATTTACAGTAAAATCAAATTATGCAATATCATTAAATGATGAAAATATTGACCAAAGTTTCATTCTATACTATAGAATTGGAATCTTGAAAATGTTACGAAGAAGTAAGGCTATTAGTATAAGCATAAAATCAATTTTTGCTTTTAGTACTAGCCATCATAACAATCTAAGGAAGATAACTGATAATATTATCATACATAAAGATTTTGAGGAATTAGCATAATATATACCTCCTAGAAAATGCCAAAAACATGAAGTCACTATACCAGAACAGATAATGCTTGATTTCCACAAACAAGTTAGAGAAATTAATTCTGAAGGAAAACTAATAAGAAGAAATAGTGTCAGCTTAGAAGGAGATAATCTTATTGCAAGATTTCCCTCTAGACAAGACTCTAGGATAAGCAGACTTAAAAACTTAAGTATTGCTGAACCATCAAGTTTGCAATATTACATTAAGACAAGATATGTAAATCAAGAAGGATTTAAGAAGAATCTTCTTGTCCTCATATATACTAGAGCAGATAAAAGTCATGTAAATGCTAAATTTATTAGTCATTTAATAGACTTAGAAATACCAGAACCATGTATATTTAATGATTATTTAGGAAATAATCTTGAAATAAGAAAATATGTTAAGTTCCCTCTTATACTTATAGGAGAGGATCAGAAAGAATATACTAAAAAAATAATTCTCTATAAAGATGAATTATATGGAGTAGATCGTTCACCTATTTTATTAGGAATGAACTTTCTTGAGAAATATAGTCCTTATAAAATCTGCCAAGGATATTTAAAGATGACAGTTGATGATAACCCAATTATCATATCAAGAATAGATGAAAATATGAAATCATTGTTATCATGGAAAGAGTAATAAGTACTAACCCTATGAGTCCATATATTAAAATTACACTTAATATAAAAAGCTATTATAGAATTAAATTTCATGCTTACTTAGATAATAAGCTTATGCTTACCAAATGTACTATCATCTGAATACTGAATATACAATTCAAAAAAGATAGTCACCGCTACAACAGCAGGTGGAAATAAGGTAATATACAGCAAATATGTTACGCAAGTACCTTTTCTAATTTCCTTTAGAGAAGTATTTGTTGATACAATATATATGTCAACCACAATTGGATGTGATATTTTATTAGAACAAAATTTCCTATTAAAATATGCACCATTTACACAATATATTGATAAGTATATGTTCACAACACCTTGTGCACATAAAATATTTACACCAAAAATAAATAAAGCTGTTACAATAACATATACAGATATAAACCATCAGAGTTCCTCAACCCAGAGTAGTAGATGTTGGAGTACAGAAAAATTTAAACCAGTTACAGTCTTAAAAATGACAACAGAAAATAGGATTGAAAAACTGAAAAAAGAAATTTCTGAAACATATTCTGAAAATCCATTAGAA